CCTTTTCCGTTTCCAACAAAATTATCAAAAAACCCCTTTGTTTAGAATTAAAACATTTTACCTGTAAGTTAATCTTTTCTTTGTTTGTATGATCGAGTATTAAATGACCATATTCTAATGTTTTGAAATATGTATAAATTGTGTATTGACAAAACCAATTTTAAAGTAAGCTATTTAGTTTTTCTCTGAAACAGAAATTAGGCTTTTCCATAATCATGGTAAACACAATTTGAGCTTTTGATTGGGCGGTCGTTTTTTGAATGGGAATTTGTGAGCCGATCAGGACGACCGGAGAAGTTAGTTATAATTTGGTCATCGAAGGAAACAGTCGTTGGTCTCAAGATAGGGTGTGGTTCGTGAGTTGGATACCGGCATTGTGAAAAGAATTGAATAGTCTTGCAGAAGGAGATAACAAGTAGATTAAAAGAGGTCCTTGTATCTACCGTGGGCATTTTGTGAAAATAGGTGAAAGTAGTTTTACGGCATCAAGTTGAAAAAAGGAAGTCCTTGTGTCATTATTAGGTAGCTGAGTTTTTGGAGAAGTGAATCAGGTGTCTTTGGTTAGTGCAGGAGGTTTGCAGAGACGTTGGGAAGGAGCCGAGGTGCCAAAAAGGAGAGATCACATCGTTGAGGAGATTGGACTTTTCTGGGTATGTTCCAACATACAATGCAATAAGGAAAAAAGCTGTAAGTGTTTTATACAATTGAAATTAATATCTGTGAAGGATCTGTGTTGACATCATGGTCATTAACATTCAAATTTAAGAACTGAGGTTTTGTTAGACTAATCAAAAGTTTAAAGTTTTGTTGTTTCTTGTTTCAAGTAAAGAAAAATTGGTTTTCACTTAATATAAATGTATGTAGATTTAACATCTTATTATTATAAAAATTTCATTTATTTTCTTGTATGCTGATTGATAAGATAACGGCAGAATTTGATAATTGTTTTATTCGTTCATATAAAATAAAGAAACGTAATTTTTTTGTAATATAATATTTTCTTTTATTATTATCCTTCTTCTCTATTCCGATAAAGGACAACTAGAAAATCTTTGAATCCATTGAACACAGGTAATATAAGGAGTTTTATTTTACATTTGATAACAAATAAGTTATATTTTTTTTATTGGCTCAATAAACTAAGATCAAAATCAAAATAAACAATCATAACAATATAGAAATATAAAATTTGTACTTCTTGGGTTTAGGTTCAATAAATTTTATTAAATTTGCAACTAGATTTTATTTTCCATAGAAATCAACTTTTTGACAGGAAACCCTTGCCTTTGTCAAGATTCTAAAATGTACAATATAAAGAATAAACGGTTATTGTAAAATATATAAAACTTACCAAAACGTAAAACGGGACACTAACGTTAATGAATTGACAAGTGAAAGTTTTTCATCCAATTTCTTGACATTTTCTTGGGATCGTCAGTCCAATGAGTAGGGGGTCTTCCTGTACTTCTTTTGTCTAACCTTGGCCTCCACTCAAAAATAAGAAAGTTACAATATCTGGGACAAGTAATGAGGAGACAGCGATATGAACTGTTAAGGCTGATAATACAGGGAAAGAAAAGAGGAGCAAGGAGTATAGGAAGAAGAAGAGTGTCATGGTTGAAGAATTTAAGGGACTGGTTTAAATGCAGTTTTAAAGAACTTTCCAGAGCAGCAGTAAATAAAGTAAAGATAGTGATGATGATATCCAACCTCCCACTGGGAGACGGCACTTACAGAAGAAGGCCTCCACTCAATCCTCGCCTCCAATCTCTTCATCTACCTTTCATCACTGATTCGGACGACGTGTTCCATTTCAGTGTGGCAATTCGGGAAATTACATCGGTAACTCCTGTTCTTCTTCTTAAGTCTTCATTTCTAACTCGGTCACGAAGCGATATACTCAGCATTAACCTTTCCATTTTCCTCTGAATCATTTGCAGCGTTTTCGAACTTGTAGCTGTCAATGTCAAAGTTTCGGCACCATAGGCCATCACACGCAACACACATTGGTCAAAGTAATGTAAGGTAACCATGAAACCAAACAAACTAGCTACAACTGACTTTCTTCTTTTCTTGGGCTCAATTCTGAACTTTCCATCCGTCAATTTGAAGGGGTAGATAAACCTGGGCGAAACAGGACACAAAAGACACAAAGTTTATTAAACAAAATAGATCAGCTTAATATTTTTTTTGAAAAATAAAACATGCAATATATTATGTTTCTCTGAACACTGGCTCAGAGAAAACGAATTACCAAACATTAAAGCTTGATGGGTTTTTTATGTCAACTTTTTATTGTCACCAGGTAAGAGAACATGAAAGTGTTGTAATTTTTAGCTGTAATAAAATCTCTACATGACCAGCTTACTTAAATGATATATCATGTGAATATGAGGGTGAATTTTGTGCATTAGAAATTATAGATATTAAAACATGGACGTATAAACATAGATGGACACAGCAATAATATACCTTTAATACACAATGTTTTGAAGCTTCGATAGAATGTGATGCTTCCGCAATGAGCATAAGCGTGCTTGAATTTTTACTCGCGGGTAATTATTCAGATTTTAAAAATTGGAAGTAGTAATAATGTATAAAAACACGTTCAAAGAATTTAAAACAACGAGAGTTTAACAATTAACAAATCACGTCTTTATAGAAAAATTAAAATACAATTTTATTTGCTTTAAAATTAATACAATAAAATATAGTTGAATTCAAGTTAATTTTTAATAGGTATTAAAATAATGCTACAATAAAAAATCTTTATGTTTTCTCCTAAATTTGCTACCAAAATAGTTCGATCGTCAATATTATTTGGAAACCTACATAGAAAAATAAATGAGTTTTATTCATTTCACTAATTTATTTGCATCCATGAGAAATATTAAATTAAAAAGGTACTAAATAGATCTTTTTTAATCAGATGATGTCTACTTACAATTTAAAAATGTCTACTAATTTCATGAACTTATATCTTATTTACTACATTAATGGACATTAATAAACCCAATGGTACGCCTATTAAAATGTAAACAAATACTCTTCCTCATTTCCGCATCTTAAATAATGTAAATTTTATGTATTTACAAATGAAATGAGAGATCGGGATGTAAATATTTCGTTTATTTTATTTCACTTTTCACAAATATCACTCAAAATACAGCCAAAATATCGAAAAACAACTTTTACTAAAAAGTAAACAAACATGGAACAGGATTTGAAGTTTGACGTAGATTCATAAGACAGAGAAATGTAAACAACCATTGCCATTTATAAATAGTTTTCAGTGCTTCTACATATAAAATAATTGATTGATATCTAAATTATACGTTATTATTAATGCACACTATGTGCACACTTTATATTTTGATTACAATTAAATATATTAATCTAACCAATAAATTATTATTTCGGTTTGATAGCACCTGTAGAGTATAAAATGCGGAGTAATATTTTCAGCGACTCGCGAATAAGAAATTTTAAAACAAAACCTGACAACAGTTGAAGGTGCTGAGAATGTGACCTATTCAAATAATTTTGACTTCACAATTTTATGTAAATAACTGAGTCCATCTGTGTTTATACGTCCATTTATTAAAACTATTTTAGTAACAGTGTATAGAACTAGAAATGGGAATTTAAAAGTTTTTCTAGATCTATTTGAAAAGTTATTTGTGTTTTGTTCTGTAAATTTTTTAGAAATATTAGTAATGATTATTAAATCACAACTAGATCAGCAGCTTGTTTAGATAACATCATAACAAACGTAAGCTGTGAGATAGTTGGTTGTGGAATTGTGGACCCATGTATTTCTGATCATCTTGCCTAATGTTTCTACTTAAAAATAAAATCTGAAAAAAGTCATAGTGCTAGTATCATACAGAAGACATATAACAAGTAATGACATTCTGATGTCAAAACAGTCGTTAAATAACGTTGACTGGGCTTCAGTTTTTCTCTCAAAACAGCAACAGAATTAGCTCAATATATTACCGACATGTATGTAAAGTTGTAATGAAATATTTTGCCTACCTTAGGGTAAGAGTATGGGGGTAGAGAAAGGGCAAGCAAAATAAACGCTACTTGTGCGAACGGCATTCAGAGTTTGTTAGGAGAGCTGGAGTCGTGGATAAGTAAAAGATAAGGGGTCGGATTGGGCAACTACAGAAAAAAAAACAAAAGGGTTACTAACATTATCTCTTGGGCTAAACAAAGCAAAAAGAAACAGGAAACACCTCTAGTAATTTAATATAGGGCGCCACTTTGAGGTGCCTAATTATACCTATCACAACCACTAGTTGTAACTAGGGAAATAATTATTAAACATAAAATACATATCTTTTCAAATAAAACTCAAAAAAGGGCTTAGTTAAAAAATAAACAAAATGTTAAGAAAACAAAATATAACATTTATTGTGTCTTATCACAAACAGTTACAAAACATGGAGAATACAAGAATAGACATAGAAAAGAAAAGACACTACAAAAAACTTACAAATGTTACCGCATAGAGATTAACTTTTTTTTTAACAAACAAAACAAATAAATATCGAAAATAATAAAGCTAGCTGTCATTTTTTTTTTCAATTTATAATATAATTTATTCATGACTTTTTATGTCTGTCTCTACACGTTTCTAAAAAGAATTAGTAGTATTAACATGATACTAGCTGCGTATGTTCGAATCTCCTTGTACAAGTCGTAGTCGTCGTTGACAATAGACGATCCCGAACGAAATTAACTTACGAGAAACACAATTATCCCCTAATCAATCTCTGCTGATGCCAAATCAACCCTTGTTAACCGACCTCGCCACTTCGCCGACTTCATCAAAACTTTCTTCCCCCGTTTAAGGGTTGAAATGACATAGTAGGCGGAACTCCGGTAAATCGAGCAAGCGTTGGCGGGTTTTAAACGTCAGATCGCGATTGTTTGCTAACAATTGAACAAGTTTAATCCTCAAGCCACTAGATCGACTTCAATTGGACTGTAAAATGGCCGATTTGCATTTAAACGATACAAATTTGTCGCAAAATCGGACTTCGTTTCTTATTGAGGATATTCTGTACAGACAAAAGTCTGAACAGGAACAAAGTGTTGCTGTCGATGTTATTAATCGGGAAAAAGTGTTTCCGTATCCGAAAGTTATAGATAAGAGAGTGTCACCAGAGAAAAACGGTTATAGTTACTTTCAGTCTAACGTAGTGCCGGGAGGAATGGTTCAAAGTTTTCCGCAGCATGAGAATGGGTATATCCAGGTGATGGGAGCTCTTGGTGCCTATCTAGGACCACCTTATAAGAATATGACGGATCCGTATTTCCTAACCCAAGGTCAGTTGTCTTTAAGAATGTATTTTTAACTAGCTATTTTTAATTCTTTTATCGAATTTAAAGTATTTATTGGACTGTTAAATATATTTTATTTTTGGTGTGTAGTCTTTTTGTAATATCTTTTTGCGCCATTTGTCTTTTTAAATATTATTTTATGTCATTTGATTTAAAACTATTTAAAATATACAAGGTGGGATATACCTATCGGGAAATAGACCAAAGTTAGGTTAGGTCTGTTGGCTGTTGGCCGAAGGCAGAATTCTTAGTTAAAGAATCGACGTGCTTGGTATTAATGCAGACCGATTAATTTGTTTAGAAGAGCCAATTAACCGTAATGATAAAATAGCCAACCTCCGTAGAAAGACGACACTCTAAGATTATTTTGTTTATTAAGTTTTTTCTATACTCGATTTGAAAATGAATAATACAGAATAGTACAGTTTGTATGACAGAAGATTACAATAGTCTTTATACAAGACTCTCAAAAGCATAAACAATATCGACACCATCTCGTTTACCACTTCTTCGGACCACCTCTTCGGTTTAGGAACCATAATTTTCATCATCATCACTTCATACGTAATTTCCTAAAAGAAATTACCTTCTTCCCTTTTTCTTTCACCTTATAAGCATTTCTGCGTGTTTACTATTGGATTGATACCTCTATGGAAGGTTGTCGCTCCAACTTTTGCGCTTTCGTCTGATACTTCTACAAATTGGTGATTTATCTTTCACTATTTTGATCACATGGGTCTCCTTTATTTTGCTTGTGTGGTCATTTCACTGTTTTTTCTGTTTAGTGTCCATTAATTTATAAACTGTATGTTTAATTTTTTTTCTGTCTTTATTAATCCTTCGATTGCTCAGCGTATTTCCTGTAATTATTCCGAGTACTCTCATCTCTGCCGTTTCCAGTAGCCTTTGTGTTGTGGCTGTATCAGGTCTTGTTTCTGAGGCTTATATCATTATTGGTCTTATATTGACTTTATAAATTCACACTTCATCACAGAAATAATATGTTTGTTTCGCCATATAGTGTTAATATTACATTCTGTTAGCCTATTTGCTTTTTTTACTTAATATTTCTCTTCTTTGTCCAGCTTTCCATAGTTGGATAGTGTAATTCCAAGGTATAGGCGACGCTTCCACAGCTAGCGCCGTTTCTCGCATCCTAATTTCTAGAGTTTTTGTCGAAGCAATCTTCAATTTTTAAATCTCTGACGGTCATTGCATCTCGACATCTTCTCTTCATTACCGTCTTGGTCTACTTCGGTTTCTACTAGTTTCTCTCTAAGTACCCAGACCATTTTAATTTTTAGCTTCAGTAGTGTCTACTATGTCTAGGTCAATTTCTATTTCTCTCCTACTGCCTACGATTCTTACCCTATTAAGTCTAGTGAACCGGTAAAATCGTCTCCAATAGTAAATTTCCATGGCCGTAGTTTTTGATTTTTTTCTTTAATTTATTTTCCGGCGTCATTCAACCCAATACTTTCTACTATTGTCATATAAATTCTTCTGTTATTGATATTTTATTATTCCACAATAGTCCGTGTAAATGTCTAGTCACTTATCTTGCTTGGCCAATCCTAGAATGTATTTCTTTGTTCCTCCGTGCTTTTGATGTAATATTGACTCTCAAGTTTTTGATGATTCAGTTGATTTTATAGTAACCAATTCAATTTGTAGGCTTTCTGGTTTTTCTCCTGTAAACTCCATTTTGTATATTAATTGTAAGGCTCCACTTGGTGTACTCTTTTTCAGTTTTCTAAGCATATAATCTATCAGTTTCATCTTCAGCTAGAATGGACTGGTTGTCAACACAGTGTACAATCTTTTGTCTTCGATTCAAGAGCGCCTCATTGAGATATATTTTGAAGAGTGTAGACTTGCTTGATAACCTTACGGATAGGAATTTCTCTAGTTAATTTGTTTTTAGTTTTAATGTTTAACGTCATATTTTTGTAAAGCTGTTGTACTACTTTTATATATTTTTTTGTTTATACCTTGGGTTTCCATTGCTACTCATAGTATTGAAAATGGTAGGTATACTACCATATGCCTTTGTCAGATCTATAAAGACTACATAAGTGAAAAGGTTTTGGGCTAGTATTTTCTTAATTACCTTCTTTAGAGAAAATATGCTGTCTATACAGGATCTGCCTGCATGAAAGCCCTTTTGTTCTTCTACATCTGTCATCTCTTTTTCAATATTATTTTTCCATATAGTCTTAAGAGTAAATTTATGACACTAAACCCCATGTAGTTTAAACGATTCTTTATATCTCCTTTTTTATAGATGTTGTTACTATGTGCTTTTGTCCAATTTTCTGAGTTGAGATTGTCATATTAAAGATGTTTGCTTTTATGTTTAATCTGTGGACTAGTCTTTAATTGCCAATCTGTATCCTCTTCCTTTGTTGACAACTTTGATAATTTCATTCATAATTAAATTAAAGAGCCTAGGGCTTAATGAGTCCCGTTGGCTTTTTCTATAGGTTCTGTAAGTTATCCATCTATTCTGACTTTCATTTTGTTGTTTTGGTAGATGTTTTTAATAGTGTTTATGATATCTAGTCTGGCTCTGTCAAATGCTTTATTTCGGTCGATTAGACATAAAAATTCTGATCTATTATACTCAGTAATTTGCTTTGTGACAAATATTGTATCTGTACAAGATCTTCCAGTACGAAAATACTGTTGTGTTGTTCATCTGTTAAACTTATCATCTGATTCATTAGTTCTTATAAAATTTTAGTTGTAAGTTGTAGGGTAGTACTTAATAACTATATACCCCTGTAGTTTTCTGGCTGCTTTGTTTTTCTTCTTTTGAATAGTAGAATTAGTTCGCTCATTCTCCATTCTTCCGCTGTTTTATTTTGTTTTATAATTTTGTTAACTAATGTTATTAATTGTTCTGTCATTGCTGCTTAACCATATTTCACTAAAGAAACTATAATTGCTTCTATCGTTTTTCATATTAAGACAAGACCTGACACAGAGAGGACAAAAAGGATGTTAGAAACAGCAGAGATGAAAACACTTAGAAAAATTGATAGTAAGACACTATGTGACAGAGCTAGAAGTACAGATATACGACATAGATGCAAGGTGGAGAGCATCAAAAACTGGGTAAAAAATAGAAGAGTAGAATGGATCGATCATATAAGCCGAATGACAAGAAATAGAGTAGTAAAGACGTCAAGAGATGGTTCCCCAATAGGAAGACGATCAGTAGGAAGACCACGAAAACGATTGAATGACAACTTACTGGAGGCACATTGAAAAACAGACAGAGTCATGTCTATATAAAAAAAAAGAAGAAGAAGAAGAAGTTTTGTATATTATCATAAGTTTTTACAATTTTTCTTCCTCTGGCATATGATTATAACTTTTTGCCAGCTGTCGGACGAAATATTTGATATTTAGTCATGTATTGCTTTTCACGACATATTCCTTCATTTGAATTTTGATGTTTTTAATATTTTGTTCTCGAATATCTTCTGCATACTGGCGTAATAAACTCCGTTGAGGCCTCCCGCAGGCTTGGAAATGGGACCCCCTTTAAAAAATTACTAAATGCAACTTGTGTAGAAAAACTTTTATGTTAGTGTATTCGTCTACTCGTTTAAAAAACTTACATTTTTCATCTTTATTGGTATATAATAAAATAGAACAAAAATTAATAAATTATTTCATTCTTACATTATTCTTAGTATTATTCTATAAGTTGAAAAACTGTCTTCGTGCACTACTATCAGCGAATATATCTACAATTGTATTATTATCTATCTAATTTCTTCATGTTCAATACTTATAAGTGCTAGAGAAGATAACTGTAGTTCTAACATTGTACTACGAAGACATGATTTTAATAATTTAAGTTTAGAAAAACAACAAAATCGGTAAATTAACAACTTTATCAGATGAACAACAAGGATTCAGATCCGGAAAATCCTGCATAGGCGCCGTATTTGTACTAAAACAAATCACAGAAAAGGCTATCAGGTACAATAAATCAGCATATCTATGTTTTATAGACCAGACAAAGGCTTTCGAGCGCTTCCAAGTCGACGACCTTTTACACCTACTGTAGAAAAGAAATATGCCAATTAATATTATACAAACCATCGCAATCATCTACTTCCATAATCGAATACTAGCAAAGATACATGGAAAACTAACACAGTGTATATCAAAGTGGACAAAGTTCATGTACAAAGCGGAGTCAGAGAAGGTGACTCACTTCTCTTTAATATAATAATGGACGAAATAATACAAGCAGTAAAGGTCATGGTTACAGAATGGGGAACAAAGAAATCCAAATATTATGTTATGCTGACGACGCCGCATTAATCGCCGAGACAGAAGACTAGCTCCAAAGACACACATCTCCAATACAAAAGCCAAAAAAATAAATATGGTAATATCAGCAGAAAAAAACCAAATGTATGGCATTATCTAAATAACCACTACGATGTAAAATCGAAATTTATGAGAAAATAATGAAGCAGGAAGCAAGGTTTAGATATCTGGGAATAGATATAACTAATTACGGAGATGTTAAAGAAGAAGTATGACAACAAAGCCTAAAATCAAGTAAAGCGGCGGAATCTCTTAATGACATTATCTGGAAGAACAAAGACCTAAGACAAGACACAAAAACAAGAATCAGCAGCAATTAGACCTATATCAACATATACGGCGGAGACAAGACCTGGCACATCTACAACGAGACGACTACTAGAAACAACAGAGATGAAAATACTCCGACGAATATAAGGGAAAAGTCTGTTGGATAGGGAGAGAAGCGAAAGTAAAATATAGTAGGCATAAATAAAAGATGGTACGATAATTTAAACAATTTAGGAGACTAATAGTAAAGAAGAAACAGTCTTTGAAGCCTACATACAAGAAGAAAGAAGAAGAAGTTTAGAAAAAGATATCTCTAAACTAGCTGTCGTGGCAGTTAAAGTTAAAAACAAAATGTACGCATGGCACACTTCGTATGCAAGCATAGTGCGATGAAAATCTATTAGAATAATTTTGGCTGCATCATATATAGAGCTGCATCACGATTTCAACTGTGTCTTTAATGATTTTCTAACAAACTGCAGTTGCTCCAAAAACTCAATATTTAGATCTGACGAATACGCAGCAACAAATTTACTGACTTCTGCAAAAAATTCTGGTTCAAATTTGAAAAGATATTTACTTATAGGATCTAAGACTTTAAAATCGTCGTTCACTTTGCTACAGCCCCGAAAAAACCACTGGTTAAATCGGCGCTGCTCCTGACCTTTTACGATGACGACTAGAAACTATAATAATATATAAATATTTTGTATGTGACTATTGAAAGGTTTTAGAGTTGCAATTTTGGGAATTTTAGAACAATATTTCTATATGTAGAAATGCGTTTTCTATTTACGTTTAATATTCCGATACGATATTCGGCAGTACTTTCTTAAAATATCCTTACACTGTTTGTTTACATTTTGTGTTATTTGTGTTGTTCCTTGTCTAGGAACTGTGTCGTATGCCTTCTCAAAATCGGAATGTAGCTATGTTTTCCTTTCACAGTATTTCTTTATCAACTGTCTCAAACAAACAGGGCATCCGTTGTGCTCCAACTGGGAATAAACACAATCTGTTTTTCTCCTATCGATGTCTTTCTCCTTAACCTTCGCTGTGTATGACAATAACTTTATCCCATTATGTTTTTACAGTCCTGGAAGTCGCCTTTATACAATGATACTATTACTCTCTCTCTCTCTCTCTCTCTCTCTCTCTCTCTCTCTCTCTCTCTCTCTCTCTCTCTCTCTTTCTCTCTCTCTCTCTCGCTCTCTCTCTCTCTACGTATTGGCCATCCTTTTTTCCTCATATATCCTACTCATTATTTGCCACAAAATATCAACCCCTTCCTCTACTAGAGCCTTTTAAAACTCCACAAGTATATTATGAATTAACAGTATTTGTTTGTCCTCATTCTAATATCGTCATTTCTGATATGATCTTTTTGGATACACCACATGCTCTTCTTAGAAAATCCATTTCTACTACTTCTATTCCTTTTCTATCTTTTTTCGTGATCTGCCAAACTTCTGCCCCATAAGTCATAATAGGCTCTACCAAGATTCGATAGTAGAGATACTTTAGACCATAGTAGAGAGTTTAGAACGTTAACCGCTTTTTTCCCTGCTGCGTTCTGTTTTCGATGTCTCTTTTGGCAGTGCCTTCTTTAGATATTATAGATCCGAGATATTTATATTTCTTGCATGTTTTGTGTTTCTAATTTCTAACTCTGGATCTTCTTCATCAACTCCTATTTTAAGATACTCTGTCTTTGACATATTCATATTGGGGCTCCATTTTTCATATTCTTTTCTTAGTTTTCTAAACATGTAGTCCATGTCTTCCTCATCATTCACTATGACTACCTGATCATCTGCGAAAAATAAAGTTGTTAGACATTTACCATCTATGCCTATGTCTATTTCCATTCCGGATACTTGTTTCCTCCACTGCTCTAGCGATGATTGAATATATATTTTAAATAATGTCGGAGATAGACAACATCCTTGTTTAAGCCCGTTTGTTATTGGAAATGATTCAGATATAAAGTTTCCTTCTTTAACGACACTTCTTGCATTTTTGTATATATTTTCGATAGCATCCACATACTCTCTACTGAGACCTACTTTTGTCAATGTTTGGAAACAGGTTTTTCAAAGTTACCGTATCATATGCCTTCTCTAAATCTACAAAAAATAGGTGGGTAGATAGATTCCTTGCCTTCCGTTTTTCGATTATCTGCTGCAGAATGAATATACCATCAGTGCACGATCTTCCTGCACGAAATCCATTTTGTTCTTCTATACCTTCGTATTCTGATTCTATTTTTTTTTATTATTCGACCGTACAACCTCCCCACTGAGCTGATAACAGTTATTCCCCTATAATTAGGGCATTTGCTTTTATCCCGTTTCTTGAATATTGAGCTGATGTATCCAATATTCCAATCATCAGGGATATTTTGGCCTTTTAAGCATTTGTTAAATAGTTGAACCAATATCTCATGAAATATTTTTGGTCCATACTTTACCAACTCAATTGGGATGTCTCCAGGTCCTGCTCCTTTACCGTTATTTAATCTTTTGAGGGCATCGTTTAACTCTCCGGTTATCTCAATTATTTTTGTGTGTTCGGATATTTCTTCCATTTCGATCTCTTGGAATTTACATCTATCCTCTGTCAATAAGACCTCATAATGGTGTTTCCACTGTTTCAGATCTATTAACTGTAAGGTATATTTTTCCTTTCCTTCCCTCCGGAGAGACTTTATCACGTTCCAAGCTTGCCCAACTCTTATTCCACCCATATACCTATCCACCTCTGCACATCTTCGATCCCACATCTCATTTTTATTTTACCTCTTTTATATCTTTATTTCAACATCGTTTCTTAATACGCTTCCATACGCACTCTTAATCTGCCGCACATGGATTAAGTCCTTTGATGACTTGTTTCTTGCTTTAGCAATGCTGTATAACCTTTTTATTATCTCTGTTGTTTCCAACTCTTCATACAGCTGTGCAGACGATATTTCCTTAGAAAGTATACTCTAGGTCATCTACTTTTGTAAGGTGTCCATTGTTGTATTCTGGCGTTCCAAGGTTGTCTTTTTATCTAGCAGTAACCTGCGAAGCTCCATTTGTAAGTGGTAATAAAAAAGAAAACTAATATAAAAACAATAATAAAAGAGGAACTATTGATTTTTTGTCGCCGTGCAATATCTTCTAAAGCTCTTTGAGAATAAACAAATTAATTAAAATAGTTATAACAAGGTTATCAAGTTATTGAGACTATTTTATTTGTTGCAGGCATTCCTTTTCATCACGCCCTCTTTGGTAGTTCAGCTAGTGAAATTTCTTTAAATGCTCTGAAACACTGTAGAAGAAGGAAAGCCAGAACAGTCTTTAGCGATCCTCAGTTAACCGGTAAGTCTCAAAATTATTATTTTTAGAGTTTATTGTACTGAAAATTTAACAATTGGTCTAACAGCCCATTGGTTTATTGTATATAGAGTGCTTTTCAGATAAAACTATCCACCTTAAATAACTTTTGAGCTTCTAATTTTAGGAAAAATGCAAAAACACGTCAATTAATATTTAAAAGGGGAGACAATATATCATATTTAAGGTTTCTGAAAAATGCACACTCTCACCCACCGTAGCACACCTTTATTCTTTTTGAATTACTCCCTTTGATTAATTTATATTTGGAATTTTTTTTTGTACTGATTTCAAAAATGTATAATACATTTGACTTGAAGTGATTAGTTTATGAGATAGACAATTTTTCTTTTAACAAGATGGTATATCTCTCACCTTAATTGACTGTAATAAAATAGGTTGCAGCATAATTTAAACTTCTTAAATATTTAACCGTACTCTTTGTAGTACCCGCAAAAACCAAGAAACAAAAAACTTCACTTTTTATTAAAGTTATATCAAAGGTTTTCGATATTATTTGGACGTTTATTTTATAGCCAATAACAATTTGTTAGAACTTGTTACTGTTTTATTCCTGTGCAATTTGATCGCTGAAATGTTTTACACTTTGAAAAAAAGAGTCGAAATTGTGCAAGAGCTGCTGCTAAAATTACTAATGAAACATACCGCAATAGACATGCAACTGATAAGTATGTGATTGAACTGATGCAGACATTTAGAGCAACAGGGTCAGTTTGCAATAAAAAACATAACCGACAGGGACTTGTAAATAACGAAACAATTCAAGTAGCCGTTTTAGGGCAAGTTAATTTAGAGGCTGAGCAATCAGTGTCACTGTCAACAATAACAGAGCAATCGGTGTTTCATATTCTACAGCTTTCAGAATATTCCATAAATTTAAGTTTCATCCATATAAAATTAAATTAGTATAAGAGTTAATGACACAATGTATCACTAACAATCCACAATTGTTAAACAATATTTAATTTTCGGATGAATGCTGATGTTTCATTAAATGGTTTGGTGAACAGACATAATTGCCGATACTGGGCTAAGAGAGATCCAAATATTGTACGTGAATTTCACACACAGCATCCTCTAAGGTTAAACGTATGGTGTGGTATCCTAGGTGATCACATTATCGGACCCTTCTTTATCACTGAAAGTTTAAATGGTGCATTGTATCTGGAATTACTTAGGCAAGTGATTGATTGTATTAGAACGATAGTAGAAAACGATAATAACCTGATTTGGTTGTATTTCAACATGATGGAGCTCCTACACACTTTGCTCCTATGCGAAAATTTTTAAACGAAATGTTTCCATCTGGTTGGATAGGTAGAAGAGGATAGATGATGGATTGGCCACCTGTGTCACCGGATTTATTACCCCTAGAATTCTTCTTATGGGAGCATTTAAAAACAAAAATTTATGCCACTCAACCAGAATCTCTAGAAAATTTACGACAAAGAATAGGGGACGAATATCGACAATTAAATACAGACGTGTTAAGCAATATCAGAGAATAATTTCAAAATAGATTGTACTATTGTATAAAATAAAATGGCAGTCATTTTGAACAATTATTGTAAAAATTTTTGGTAGTGAAATGTTCATTCAAAATGTTATTTTTTTTCTATCCAGTTTTCTTGCTTTTGTATTTATTTATCTCATAAACTAATCACTTCAAGCATCAAGTGTTATACATTTCTAAAATCAGTACAAAGAGGAAAATCCAAATATCAAATAAAAAGGGGGAAGTAAAAAAAATAAAGAGATCATACGGGAAGCGAGAGGGTGCATTTCACAGCAATCTTATAAATATGATATAATGTCTCTGCCTTCAAATATTAATTGACATGTTTTTTAAGTTAATTACTATTTAACTGGGAATAAGCCACAATTAAAGATAAAAATACGTTTATTGACGTTTCAATTTCCACTTCGGAAATCGTTCTCAAAATACAAACAGTAAATTACTGTTTGTATTTTGAGAACGATTTCCGAAGTGGAAATTGAAACGTCATATTTTTATCTTTAATTGTGGCTTATTCTCAGTTAAATAGTAATTATAACCCCCTCTGTGGCTCAGTGGTAAGAGCGCCTGCCTTTAAACCTAAAGGTCGTGAGTTCGAATCCCATCTGGGTGGAGAAATTTTCGTTTATTAAAAATTAATAAATGAAAATAATTTCTATCCATGTGTGATCGGTACTCACCGGAGGGACCGCAAACGTTCGGATACAATTAGCGTCTCTTAGCAAAGACAATGACGTCGACTTTGCTAAGTATCAAGACAATTACTCTACACACACACACACACACACACACACACACACACACACACACACACCTACACACACACACACACACACACTCACACACACACACACACACACACACACACACACACACACACACACACACACACACTACACTGGGTATCTGATTGTACCATGCCAATGATCATAGTTGTCGAGGCATTAACTCAATAAAAAAAAAATTACAATGCCACAAGAAAATAGCTTTAGAACAATGTTTTTTAAGGTAGATACATTTATCTGAAAAGCACTGTATTTTAATATGTATTGTACAAGTACTCGGGATACCGAAAACACGACAGATCTTTTATTAAAACTTGATACAACTAGGTTCAAATTTAAGACTTTTTTGAGACAAAGACAGTATCTGCGAACAGGGTGCCTGCTCCTCCGTTCATTCTGTTTTTATTTTTATTTGCAGACTTAGATAATCTTCCGGGCCATATATCTTTCATTTTGTCTCAATATTTATTTTATTTTCATAAGTTGGGATAAAATGTTTTCAGTGACTTCACCAACTCTTTGGAGCATCGCTCAGAAAAACTTTTCACATTGTACCACTTATCTTCTTTGGACAATGGTGTTACACTTCAGTTCCGTGGGGTGCAGTACTTGCGGTGCAAATGTCAGCGTGTTATGAGCCAGTTAAGATGCGTCTGATCAATGACTTTACAACTCTTCACTAGTCTTTGCCGCGTTTATTATTCTCTTCCATTCTTGTCTGTACTGCGCCACTATTTTCCATCACTCCCATTTTATCCAAATCCTCTCTTACTGAATACTTCGACATTTTTCTAGGCTGTCTTATAGACCTTCTTCCATTTGTTCCTACCCAAAACACATTGTTTATGAAGTGATTATCATTGCTTTGTATCACATGTTCTGCCCATCTTAGCATATTTTCCTTTATATATCTATCTTACTAGATTTTCCTTTCCAAAGAGAGAATCGTTATTGTATCTGCCCCTCCGTTCGTTTGTCACGCTATCTCTTCAATGGCCATATATTACTTGAAGGATTTTACGTTCTTACACCAGCAATTTATTTATATATATATATATATATATATATATATATATATATATATATATATATATATATATATATATCCGGTTTTTTAGGCGTTACGCCCGTCCGATAGGGATCTATGGAGGAGTATCACCAAGCCGCAAGCCCTTATCTCTTGCCGTACTGCTCCACCATAGGCCGATCAGATCCCAGCATATCCTAGTCTAAGCCGCAGATTCATCTAGAATTTTAAACTGCTGCGTTAGACTTTTTGTTTTCAGTACACCGAGCTGGGGCTCGAACCCTCATCCACTGAACCATTCGACAGTGAAGCGAATGAGAGGCAGCCCCACAGCCCGCTGAGCTATCTGACCTGCTAGAGATTTATTTATTTAAACCGAAAATATACTTAACTTCTAATGTTACTTGTGCTATTGCATCGACAAAAGCAAGAACCATCTTGGCTCTCCAAGCAGCTATGTCTGGTTTGATTTTTTGATAAATTTTTGGCATTACACATTCTAATGCCGGATTAAAAAATAACGGTGATAGAGGATCTCCCAAGTCTCACTCCAGAATTTATGTAAAAAGCATTTCATATGATTTCTTCTATTCTAACTTGAGTAAAAGAATTACTTACACATATTTACGTTACCGCACCTACTTTCTTAAGTACGCCCAGCTCAACCATTACATTCCATAGTCTTACACGATTAATTGAGTCATGAGCCTGTTCAAAATCTATAAGATATGATGTTTGTGTTGATTAGACTCCCAATACTTTTCAATTTACTGCCTTGGATTGTCCTGCATACTCCTCCGGATATAATCTGTAATGCTTTTGGCAAATATTGCTTTTTATTGCCGTACAAATATTGCTTAATTGTTAACTGAATTAGTGAACTCAAATTTAGCCACCACACTGCGAATAGCCCATTCGGTAGGACGATTATTGGAACCGTAAAACAGCGCGGAATGTTGCCAGAACATAACACCAATTTTGATAACACAACTTTATCATTTGCACATACCAGGACGATCCGATAAGTACTTAGCCTACAAAAGAAAACGAATATTTTTGAAAAACTGGCGATTTATTTCTCAACATAGTCTACTTTTGTCTCAAAACGCTAAACCAGCGATGCTCCAACTTCTTTAAACCGTCTGAAAAATACGTTTTCTCGAGGTCTGAAAAGTATGTAGGCTTTCGTAGCAGCGATGATCTGTTTCGACTTAAATTCCTTCCCGGCGACTGTATTTTTCAAGTTTGGAAACAAAAAAGTGGGTCAAATCTAGAGAATATGGTGGATGGGGCAACAGTTCGTAGTCTAATTCGACCAATTTCGCCATGGCCACGGCGGAGGTAGGCGCGGGTCCGTTGTCATGATGGAAAGCACTTTTTTCTTCGTTAAATTGGGTCGTTTTTTTGCACGTTCGCCGGGTGCCGCTACTGTTTCGGCTGTTTTCTGGTCCCTGGTGTGTATCATGTTTCATCAATGGTTACGAAATTATGTAGAAATTCCTTCGGATTACGCTTAAATAGCGTCAAACACTGTTCTGAAATAGTCTCACGGTAAAGCTTGTCTGGAGTGAGCAAACGCAGCAATCATCGCGTCGACAGCTTTTTCATACCCAAAATTCCACGCAGAATATGGCATACTTGGTATTTTGGGATACCTACTGTCTCAGCTACCTCACGTACCTTAAGTCGGCGGTCTGCCAATATGAGATCATGGACTTTTGTTACATTATCCTCCGTGGTAGCCAATTTCGGGGCACCTGAGCGTGGCTCATCAAAAACCGATGTGCGACCACCTTAAAACTCGTTAAACCAATTTTTATAGATGGCCATCGAAGAATAAGAGTCACTTTATACAACATCCAAGCGCTCTTTGATTTCCCTTGCAAAAACAAAAATCGAATCACCGACCGATATTGCTCTTTTTCCATTTTTCTCAAATCCGCGGACACACCAGCTATTACATGCGGTTGAAACAAAACTACGACTCCGTTTCGGTTAAAATGTTGACATTAGCTGTCTACGAGAATGTATTACAGGATAGTGGATTTCTTTTGAGATGATGTACGCTATATCCATCCATGCTGATTTGGCAAAACAGGTTGAATCAATGACAGCCATATATGATAGATATAGCTTCAACAGTATGGCTGCCACAAACTTTCAAAGTTTGGAAGTCCCTAATGGAAGACCTTATATTATTTCAAAAGAGTAATAAAAAAATTACTAATATATTTTATGAAAGCAAAGCTCAGGGGCGGACTAAGGCATATGCAACCTAGGCACGTGCCTAGGACCCATAATTTTTGGGGCCCGGAAATTAGGTTTTTAATTTGTATAATTAATTTTTATTTTTATTTAACAAAATAACGTGATATTAATTAATGAAAAATCTACCAAAATAAATAAATAGATTTTTGGAATCATCTTTTATTCGATTTAACAAAGGATCAAAACAAATCACAAGAAAATTAACTATTGCATCATTCTTCAGAACAATTATTAGCGAGTTAAAAGAGATTGTTTTGCTTATACTGAAATCAACAATCCATTTTACTGTTATGTCTGTAAATTATTTTCCAAGTAAGTAATGCTAATGACAAATGGAACGAATAATTGAAAAAATGTACAGAAAAAATTGTCAGCGCATAAAAACTCCAATGGCCACATTAAGTCCATTATACAAATCATGAATGTGTTGCTTGTGTGAGTCCATATCAAATAGGTAAAGAAATAATAATAAGACTTACTCACAATCAATTTAATTTAACAATCTGACGACCGGTTTCGCTTTCTACAATTTGCAAAGCATCCTCAGGTCCAGATACAAAGTTAAACTAATGCTGCAATAAAATAAACCCAATTAGGGTGGTGTCTAATAAAGATAAAATAAATAAATAAGTTAGTTCATACAAATTATAGTAATTATGCCAATATTACATGTCTGTGGTTTTCAAAATGAATAAATTTGATTATATAAAAGGTATTAACAGACAAGGTAAGACCCACAATTGGTATAAAGTAGTAATATTATATTGTAATAAATTAATAAATGAGCAGATAAATAAAACAAAACAAACATTACTTACATGCCGATACTCTATTAATTGATGGATGGTAGGTCATGGTTGCAAAAATCATGTATTGTTGATTGGAGAACTTTAATGTGCTATTGCAGTTGTTTTGACAATAAACGGGAAGTTCTTGAGAAGAACAGATTTGATCCAATGAATTAAAGATAGGTGTATTGTGGTTGTTTGTCAGATGAAAGTGATGTTCTTTACTATTGTATTATTTAAATTATTACACTTATATCAGAGATATATTTTTGGAATATGTGTTATTTATTGAGTATTTATGTAATGAAGGAGACAGTTTTATGACAATGAATAAGAATAGAATAGGAATTATAATTTTTATAACAAGATCTAAAATTACCAGAACCATTGACACTGAACTGGAAAAACAAATGATAAATGAAAAAAATATTGGAATAAAGGACTTAAACGTGTGGTAGCGACAATTAAATTTATTTCTTTATATTCTTTAGCGTTGCGTGGTAAAAATTAAGTATTTTTAGTGAAAATAATAGTAATTATATAGGTCTTTGGTATATGTATCTGAGTTTGATCCAGTTTAGCAGGAAAACATGAAAATATATGCAAACTGCGGTACCACTACTATAAACTATTTGTAGTTTACAATATGTGATGAATTTATTTTTATTATATCGAAATATTTACAACTCAAAATAGTAAACGAAATAAAGGAAGTCATATTTTACTCTTTACTTAATGATTAATGATGATCTACATGTGTAGAGCTTCTTTAGTAGTCGCTCTGATGATTCCTGGTAGGATAAAATACGTTTAGGCGAATACACAGAGGCATTATACGTAAAATGAAATGTCAAATCAACCGTCTTTTCTTTTATTTCGGGGTACTCTTTATGAGAAAACAATTCGCCAAGAATGTTTGCTTAGATGAGGAGACATTTTGTGGAATGCAATTTTTAGATTCTCCATATCTCTCTTACATTTTTGCACAGATTAAAGCAAAAGATCTGAATTTTGGTTTCGTCAATAGAAATCTTCGTATTTCTACTTTCGTGATTAATGTTTATTTTATATAATAGTTAACAAACTACCAAACTAACAAAAGGCCCGAAATTACAATTTTGCTACGGCCCTCTTTAGCCTTAGTCCGCCACTGTCAAAGCTGAAAAATAGAATAGGAAGAAAACCAAAAAACAATTTACAAAAGTCAAATAGCTTAAATAAGAAACTATAATAATGGTAAACATAGATAGACGTATCTAATTTTACCTTATATTCCAAACATTATGTTTCCAGGTCTAGAAAAAAGGTTTTCCGCCCAGAGGTACCTGTCAACGCCGGAACGTGTAGAGCTAGCCAGTGCACTGAGTCTTAGTGAAACACAAGTTAAGACGTGGTTTCAAAACAGACGAATGAAACACAAGAAGCAGTTGCGGAAAGTTCAGGAAGAAAAAGTGAATGGTAGTTCTGTAAAGGTTCCATTGGGATCGTCAGACAAATTAGGTGAGTCTTTAATTTTGATGTGGTTTTATATTTCTTTTTCTCAAATCTAACTAGACATTCTTTAGATAATTTCAGATATTTCTTTCTTTATTTTAACTACTGCTTTTGTTATATTTCTTCTTTTCCAAATTTTCCATTTGTGTTTTATTTTTTATTATTTGTGATTAATAAAAATTCCTAATGATTTTAACTTGATACAATATTTAAACACAACTTTCAAAAATAAAGAATATTATTTCGTCAAATTGCCACATATTCTGTCAAATAGAAAACATAAACATATAAACACATTATGTTATCTTGAACAAATTGCCGAGTACATAATGTTGTAGTTAAGCTGCAAATTGGATGAAATTAACATCCATGCGTCTGGACTTGGCGCGTGTCTTGTGTATTTGGCTGTTTTCTATGCAGAGAGACTTGTCTGCTAGCATCCGTCGAAAGATTAAAAGAGTTTGTAAGTCCATCTTCAGTGAATCTAAAAAGCAAGTAATCTCATTCAATTAAGAAAAACGTAGAGTAAAATTTTGACTGTTAAATGCAGAAATGTGGTTTAGATTACTTACTTTTGAAGTGCTTGCGTAACTAATGGCTAAACCAAACAGTGCTTGGGTTTACATTGAAGAAAGCATACTTAAAAATATTATACGGCAATATGTCGGTGTAATTGGATCACTAACCGCAAACCATAGTCCCTACTCGAAGTAAAATTTCTACGAAAGAGGTCGGTCTAGTCATCAACGAAGACAAAACCAAGTACATGTTGGTTACTAAGGATCCTATAGCAAATGAGGGACGGGTAACAGCATTTGAAAGTCATATCTTTGAACGTGTTGCCAGATTCACATACCTAGGCTCGCTAATGACTACTACCAATAAAACACGCAAAGAAATTAAGAAGAGAATTAAGAAGATGAATCAACCTTACAAATAGGGCATACTATGGACCCCAAAAACAATTCCACTCAAGAAATATTCAAAGAAAAATTAAAATGATTGTATACACAATACTGCTGAGGCCGGTCCTCACATACGGGGCGGAAACATGGACTGTAACGTAGAATAATGAAAGACTTCTAGGAATATTCGAGTGTAAGATACTCCGCAAAATATTTGGAGCTATAAACCATCAAGGGCAGTGGCGCAAAAGATTTAATTTCCAATTATAGCAAACCTTTAATGAACTAGATGTCATAACATTCATTAAAACAATGGCTTAGATGGACTGGACACATAATACGAACGCCTGACAACAAGATTGCTAAAAAGCTAAATATTTACAGTACTATTAACAGTTGTCTTTTTACTATTTCTTTTGTCTATTCTAATTCTGCTTTATTATTTTGTAATAATAAATTCGATGAATAGCATTGAAATATAAACATAAATTAAAAAACATTTACATCCTCTAATTAATAACCTTCTTAACAATCATTAAAACTTTATCAAATTACCATCTTAATGTATTCCAGGAGACGCTTACGTCTTGCGAAAACTCCCAAGAAAATATTAAAGGCCTTAAACTTCCTTCCTCTAATTCAATAGACCATAACCTGAAAATCGAATCTTGGGCCCTTGAAAGAGCGCACCCAATCTTAAACATCAATTAAGGGAAGTTCATAAGTTAATGAACTAAATTATGACATAAGATGGCGGGTAAGATCCAAGATCTTCTCCACTTAGAAACAAAATTATCAAAGTTGGCCGATGCCATTCGCCTTTACAGTTCGTCGTAACGGAGTTTCCATTCAATTTCGTTTCCATTTTCTGAGGATTCGAACGTTGATAATGATGTAATTTATGCGAAAGTTGCGTAGATGCCGATAAAAAAAGAATGGAAACCACTTGTTCATATACCTATTTTTACGAAATTTCGAAACAATATAAATTACGTTTTACTTTTATTTTTATAAATTTCTAGTAGTTTATATATAAACTTGCGTGCATAGAGATCGGCCCACTGTAAACTTTTGACTTTAACTATATTTTTTCAAGAAATATTCATCAGATCACAAAAACAAATATACTGTTTGAAAGACAATTTAATATGCTTTAAGGTGAGTATAAATTTATGAAAACTTATTTCGGCTTCCTATGTTTAACATAGTGAAATGAATTCATTGAGCAAATTAAGCTTTTTTATTATTAACATTATTTATATTATGGGTTAATGACAATTTAAAACTTAACACTTAATTTTTTAATAATGAGTATGACCTCCTCTTGCCATAATAACATCTCTCATACGATTAGGCATAAATCTAATCAAGTTTGCTATTGTTGCTTGTGGGATGTTAAGCCACTCTTCTTCTGCTGCAAGAATAAGCTCTGGGATCGAGTCTGGTGTATGAAGTCTAGCTCGAATTCTTCGTTTTAGCTCATCCCATAAATGTTCGATCGGATTTAGGTCAGGACTCGATATATCTGGCAGTCGTTAAATCTCTTCTTCCGTGAACACGGTCGTCCCTACGAATGAACTCAAGATCGGTTCGTGCTCCTATAGAAATTGCACCCCAGATCATGCAGGAACCACCCTCATAAGCACTCCGCTCTTCAAAGCAACATTCTGCAAATCTCTCTCCTGGTCTCCGGTACACTTTCCTTCTTCGGTCGCTACCATAAAGGCATATTTTGGTCTCATCTGAGAACAGAACAGATCCCCATTGTTCCAATCCCCATTGCCCAATTCCGATGATCTTGTGCAAAACGCAGGCGTGCTTGCCGATGAGCTGGAGTAAGTTTTGGGCCAATCGCAGGTGTTTTAGGGATCAGGTTATTTTCCCGCAGTCTTCGTCTCACTGTCCACTGACCACATGATGTCGTTTGCTAGAAACTCATCGACTGTCTTTTCAGTGGTAAAGAAGATACAGATACGATCATTTTGATTTTAGAAATAGAATGTATTTTTCTGGGATCCGCCTTAGAAGTTACTGCATTAAGGTAAACTTCAATATTAGAGTTTGGGAGTGAATGAAATAGAATTGCTTGTTTTTTTGTTTGGAAATTTATTTGTAGGTTGATTAAGAGCTGTATAATATAATTTTGATAGTTAGTTTACAAGTAGATTGCCAGAACTTTCCATGGTGGAAGTTCCCGCTGCTGAATCAATTTTCAAGCTTGGACTAAATAACCTGAATACGGCCCTGGTGCTTATAATGGATCATTACTGGAAGGACTGGTAATTAACCTCACATCAAATCGGCAAAATAGTTGTTTACCCTTGATTTGTTATAGATGAAATGGGAAAATTAAACTTGCAGTTTTTAGTCCAGAAGAAGTAACACTTTTACACTGCACCTTTGTTTAAATTTTAGATATAAACAAAATTCTACATTTAAATTAAAAAAATTCCTTATTTTGTCCAAACTAACGTTTGGACAAAAGTTAATGTTAAATGTCAATTATCGGTAATTGCTAATATGTTTACTGCTCGGAGATTCGATCGAAAATCATATCTAGTTTATATTTTATTTAGAATAAATAAATATAAAACTAAAATTAATTATGAAAATTAAAATCAATAAGGATTAGGCCGTTACTTGATGGAAGTTTATTAACTTAGTCTTAGAATAAAACATTGAAAACTTCTGTTTTTCTACATTTCTATAAAATTTATTACAATTTATTTATTTTCACTAAAGCTTTTTCGGCAGAGTACCTTATTCTCATGATGAATTTTTGCCATGTGTACTTTATAGTCTTTAACTTACGAAGTTGAGGAAGGGAGAGCTATTTGTCTCAAGTTTATCATTCTGAATTATATCTGTCTTTTTACTGCTACTACTTGTCGGTTTACAACGTTCTCAGCCGTTTTCCGACGTCCAATCGCCACTTAGATCGGTTGTTCCATAGGTCTTCTCTTATAGCCCTCTCTCTCAGTTTTTTATTTATTCCTTCGCTCCAACTTTTTCTCGGTCTAATTCGTTTTCTCTTTTCTTCTGGTTCCCATTTTAATATTTCTTTTGGTATTCGTTGTTAATCCATTCTTTGTATGTGTCCGAACCAAATACGTTGTTTTGTTGTTAGGTCATCTGTGTTTGTTTGATTCCCATTATTTCTCTAATGCGTTCGTTGGTAATCCTTTCTCATCTAGATCCTCCTGCGGCTCTTCTCTAAAAATCCATTTCCGTCGCTTTCAGCGTTGCCAGTTTTTTTCTTTCAGTGGCCATACCTTACAACTGTATAAAGTGATACTTTTTACTATAGTCTCATATATCCATTTTTTATTTTCTTTGCTGATGGATTGATCCCATAAAATGCTGTTTAACATTGTGATGGCTTTTCTCCCTGACTATTTCTCTCTCTTATGGCTTTGTCTAATTGTAAAGATTCGAACGTATTTATGAGGTTCGAATCGTTTTATAAAGCCCCTTTGTCCGCTTCTTGTTGATCGTCGATGATAAATATAATAAATGTTGAAGTTATGGAGTAAAAGTGGTGGTTTTATTGACAGCTACCGGTAATTACACAATATGATGTTCGTTAGGTAACTACTGGTAATAAACTGAGCTCAAATGAGCTCAAATCCCCAATTTATAATCTCACAAATAATTCATACCTCAGCACAGAGGTTATTGCTTTCTATCATACCATACCAACAAACCTTGATCTATTTCCTCACATTACAATTTAATGTAGGCCATAATTGCGACACTTAGGAAGTTCAATTAGAAAATATTATTATTCGGCAATTTATTTAGTTGTAGGTAAATAAACTAATTATTAAAGTGTTATACGATATGGTTTACAATGTCTCACTTATACACGGTGAAACTATAAAAGATTAAGAAGTTAAGAATAATGTGAGACTACAAATTAAGGGGTTAATTTTTGATTGAACACTAATGTTCCATCTTGTGAAATAGTAATACCTAGATATTTGTAGTCACAGCAGTGCTTTATCGTGGTGTTATCGTCTAATATCAGATCTTTTTGTTTTACTCCAATGCACAGGTATTCGGTTTTCTTTTTATTTACTTCTAGACCTCATATATCATACT